CTTGAATATGAAGTCATATACTGGCAATCTAAATGTGACCTTGAAATTGACCTTTGACCTACTTTTCACCATGAACTGAACTTTGCAAATTTTGGTTCCCTTTTATCTCCAAAACTGGCAGAGATAGGTCCATAGTTACTATTGAAGTTGAATAAGAAGTCATATACTGGCAATTTACTGTGACCTTGAAATTGACATTTGACCTACCTTTCGATGAACTTAACTTTGATTGTACCATTTTTAGTCATATATGTTTTTTGCATATTTTGAAAATTCTTGTTGATTGCATTTTTACAGCTTGTCAAGCACAAGACTGGTGGCTGTGTCCCTTATTTTGTGTATGTGGGGGTTTATACGAATGCGCTTGCTCCAGCTGGTGGTACAATATTCGGAGGCGGTATCGCCTCTCTGATCCTCTAGTTTTCTGTTTGGATTTTGCTAAGAATAATATTGGAATGCTGTTATTATGCTGTGATCATTTTTGAAGATGAGACAGAAAGGCATGACTACAGGTAATGTTATAATAGATAGACTTAGGAAACTATGGAGAAATACACCTTTACTGCTGATTGAAAAGAACAGAACCCAATTGTCAAAATGTAATGCAAAGTACATTCTGATCATTTTGTAGGGGTGTTCTAACAAAAATACAGTAGCATCTGCACCAAAAGCTGCTTCTGTTTTGATATTTTTTTCTGCTCGCAGTGAAAACCAATATTTTTTGTCTACAAAATCATTTTCATTTGGATTGAAACATATATTCTTGAGACTCTGACTGCTTGGATTGATATACAGTTTTATTTTAAAAAAATTGTATTATTATTTTCTTTCTTGTAATCAATTAATGGTCTTCACATCCAAAAGAACTTCAGAGCAACCCCAGATGAGACACTATAAAAACCTGGACTGGTTTTCTGACTGTTCATGTAGTTCAAACTCCATAAATATGTCTGGCATTTTAATAAACGACACATGCAGATATCAAAGAATCATCAAAAGTTGGAGCACATTTACTCTCCCTAAAGGTTGCCGCCTTAGTGCGGAGTATCAATTTGTGAAATTGTCCTCACTTGTTGTTAACTGGCTGTGGTAATTGAGTTGTGTTATCTTGTAAACTGTTGTGAGGGGAATAATGCAATGGCTGCTGCCCAGAAACCTATTAAATATATAGATAAACACTGATTTATAACATTCTCAACAGATTATATTGTGCAAACAATTCTGTTGGGAAGTATAAAATGGCATATGAACAAAAACCAGTTGAAAATGAAGATGAACTTGCACTGATGTTGACAGAGGTCAGCTGCTTTCTGCTTTCTCTATGCACCAGCTTATAATATTACAAGTTTTACATATTTGGGGAAGTTCCTTAACTTACTGCCACTCTCCCCCCTCCCTGCACAATGGTTATGTTCATCTGAAATCTACTAATAAGACTATAACTACTAACTACTAACTATACTTTCCTGTGTACAGCATAAATACCTTGCATGCTTAGGCCTGGTGGCCTAGTATCTTATGATTTATGGTGGTTCATCCATTGTCATGCTTTAATAATGTGTCTTTATGTTTACTAACATCTTTATTATTTGATTTCAGTTGTCAAGAAACACCCTTCCTCCTTACATTCCCTTTAAATTCTTAAGTACAGGGATGGGAACATCCTCTTTTCTTGCATGCTCTTCAAATTTTGAATTACAGGGATGGAAATTTCCCAAGTTTTATGCAGAGAAGACATGTTATAAGAATAGATGTCAGTGTAGATAACTAGAGACAGGTTCCTTCCTGTCCTTACATTGTTCCCATCCCTGTACATGATATGTAGCAGTAAAAACACCATTAAACTAGCACTTTGATGTGCAGCATATTTAAGACACCATTCCCAGAGCCTATCACACTAACTTTGGATCGGTCCAGGGGGATTCCCACTAAATTGCTATTAAATTAAGCAGCTTAGATGTCTCGCACACCCACTGATGCTGTTAGGGGGTAATAAACTCATTCAGCAGCTTTAGCAGGTGTGCCAGACATCTAAGCTGCTTAAACTGAAAGCAATTTAGGGAGAAACCCCTTGGAGATAGTTCGATCTTCTAAGATCAATCTAGGCATGGTAACCCAGTCAACCTTATCAGTCAACTCTGTTATGTGCATGTGCAGCATATTTAATACCCTATCAGTCAACAATGTACCTTGTACCTTGATAGCATGTGCATGATATCCATACCCTTATATTTGCAGATCACATTATTGTCAAATACACAATTTTCCAAATATTTATTTTAAAGCAAGGCTTCAAGTGATGGATTGTCATATGCACATACATGTATTTATTGTTGATGTTTAAGGATGCCCAGTATGTAGAACATTATTAACAGTGGATTTCTATTAATATTGGGATGAAAGTTACATTGCACTTGCTGTTTCTTAGATAGTTTAATTTGCAGTCAACAATTTTAGGTATTACACTCTCATAGATGTAATCAACATTGATACAACTTATCTGTTCGCCAGAATTTTTTTTTCTCAAGAAGTTAGGTTTCTTGGCTACTGAAATGAGAGTGTAAACCTAGTATTTGTTGTCATGGTAATTCTTTCTGTTGCATGTTTTTCTTCATTTTCCTTTCCCTGCATTTTCTCCACTAGAGGTCTCTTCTAGACGATTTCCCCAAGCAATATACTGACTCTGTGCGAAGTGGCAAAAGTGTTCAATTTAATGTCTTGGACTTACAAGAGGTAAGTTTAATGTCATAGGTTTACTAGAGAAAATGTTAAAGTGATGAACGTGCAGGTGAGTCCTGAACCATGCTTTCATAAACAAAATAAACAGAGGCTGGCAGATCTGCTGCACTGTGGAAATTATACTTTTGAAATACTGCCACTACCCATGTCAGTAATTATCAGTGATGTTTTTAAAAGTAATAAATATTGTTATGTGTCAGTTACTGCATCCCAGAGCTAATAATATGATATCATGGAGGATAAAGGGGTCCAGTCAGGGTCAGGGGGAGATCAGAGGTGAAGTGAAGGTCAGGGCAAGGTCAGAGGTGAAGTAAAGGTCAGGGAGAGGTCAGAGGTAAAGGTCAAGAAATTGTCATTTGTCCATCACAAGATCAGTCTTGGGTCAAGAGACCCAGAAATGTGCCAAAAGAAGTTATATTGAAATACAGTCATTTGACAATTGGGATGTAGCACAGTTGTTTCTTTATGTATAATATTATTTATTAATTATGATTTTATCGATATGAATATTATTTCTTTAATTTTTTGGAATTTTATAGGCTTACCAAATATTTCATAGTCGAAGGCTAATTTTAAGGTTGCTTTTTAGAAGTGACTTAGTAGACATGCTTTTCTTGCTAGTTTATACATGTATATATTTTAGATGTCTAGCTTTCCTATGGAATATTGTATCACTTGTGGTGATACTCTAGTAGTATTTACTATTATACCCCAGACACTGTTAAGGGGTGTATAGACTACAGGTTGGCTGTCTGTTAAGTTTGTTCATTAAAATAGCTTGACTTGGTGAAAACATCACATAACAGGTCAGCAGATTGTATTACTGAAATTTTCAGACTTTTTTAAGATGAAGAAAAGGTAAATGATGTTAGTGAATTTTATGGATATTTCTTTGTATTACGGTAAGTTGATTTCGGAAATGCATCTAGTAAGGTGTGATGTGTGGTATATTTGATATGTTTATCATGTGTGTGTTGTGTTTAGAATTTATTTTGTCATGATTGTAGAACTTGCAGTGATGAGAGCCTTAGTGTCTTCACTAGAACAGCTTGCAGTGAACTGACACATGGTTACATACTATATTGACTTTAGAGAGTATCTAGAACCAGTTTCAGAAAATGACTTAAAAGTTTGCTTTTCTTTAGTCTATATGGCATTCAACAGAAATTCTGAATTAAAGACGAGACTTTTAACTTAGCTGAAATCACCCTACCTGGTTAACAATAGAATGTTATTTTAAAACCCGATATTTTATTTGAAAGGTATAGGTGATGAGATCAATAACCTTTATAAAGATGTTGCGTAGTTTATTTGTATTAAAATAGCACATTTCTATACTTCAAAAATAACTGATTTCAAAAAGTTATCATTCTGTCATTGGATTATTTCTCTTCATTTGCAAGCCTCCACAGAGAGTGATAGATTTGAGTGAAGAAGAGGTAAAGTACCAGTAGCATGATGTGTGCTGTGTTCATTTATAAACTGACATCAGAGAAGACTTACATCCGCTGTGTTATGTTAGAACAATTAAGTAGTTTTTCTTCAATCAACAGCTAATATTTGGCAGTGAATATTGCCTCATTCCATGATGTAGATACTCTTGAGAGACAGTGAAATATTGGAGGTAATTATTAGCTGCCAGTATTCACTGGTCATTGAAGAAAAATGTCTTTATTCTTAAACTGACATATTGTTAATGTTGTTTAGTTCAGTCATACCCAGCCAAAGAATTTTAAACCAAGTTCAGAAGAAGGCAGATGAAGGCGGTTGTTTTGACAGAAGCTTCAAAACCAGAAAGAAAGTGACCAAGTGTATAATAGGCCAATTTATCTGCTGCTTCTTTAAAAATATATGTTACATTTTGTTTACTTATTGATGTCAGGGGCAGATAATAAGGGTTGAAATGTCAAATAATTGACATAAAGTGTGACCTATACCATCCCATCCCCAGGTACTCATAGTAGTTAAGATGTGAATTATGGTTTTATCCTAGATATTCAATATTAGTACTTGAACCTAACTCACACTGCTTCATTTTGACAGCCTTAAGTCATGCCAAAAACTATAAGTATAATAGTATAAATATTTCACAACTGTCACTATGAATGAAAATCATAATATTTAATCAATAACAAAAATAAAAAAATAAGTCTTGAGATTCAATTTTTTAAAAAACTTACATAAAAGTGTATCACATTCTATTGAATTACAACTTTATAGGCTAAGAATTGGTTAAATTCCTTCTTGGATCACTATAAGGCTTTTGCAGTTAAGATGGAAGGCTTTATTATATGAAGCAGGGTCTGGCTCTGTAGATATTAATGACAACCTGTTTTATTGCTCTCTGTAGATGTAAAATGACACAGTTGTTATTACACTGGGTCTGGGTCTGTAAATTCCATTGCTGGTCAGTTTTATTTCTTCCAGTAGTCATAAAATAGCACAGCTCTCAGTGGCAGATATTAAGAGGGGTGTTAGGGGGGTCCTGACCCCTCCCCTCCCCTTCGATTACTGAGAAAAAAATCACACCTATAATTCCTCTTGAAATTAGAATTTTGTGTAGCTTAATCATAGTTTTAAACTATACCAGATGTCACCATTCACCAAATAAAATACCAAAATATCAGCGGGCCCCGAACCCCACGTCAGCAGGGGAAGGGGAGACTTCGATTCCATGGACCACCCCCTTCAAATAATTCTGGCTCCGCCCTTGGCTCTTATTGCACAGTAATGCACTGCTTGTAGTGCTCTAGATATGGTTAGTCTCTTCCTCCATGTAGTGTTGCCATTTTGTATAGCCTGATTAAAGCTCATCTTATATGACAATGGCAATGAACAGTTTCCTAAATTTGAATGATTCTTGATAAGTTTAGTCTTGTTCTGCTTACTGCTAACATTAGATTGGATTGCTGTC